TCTCATAATTTGTCCTATTGTAGCTCATTGTTTGAATTTAATATTAAAAATAAAATTATCATATACTTATATACAGTATTTCTTTGAGCATAGTTAACATTTACAGTTATTAATATTATTTAAAATAGGTGTTTGAAAGCATGTTTTTTTATCTCTTGCATTCTATATTTCAATGTTGAAAAGGAACTTGTAATATTTATGATAATGTACAATCAACAAGCTATTTGATTAAATTAAAAGTTAGCAAATGACAATAATTACAAAATTCCTTAATATTTTAGAATAAAAAATAATGCCATTCTTTGTTTCTTGCATAACAATTCAATCAAAAGCTGCTCAGTCAGAACAAGCAATTTGGATTTTCAATGAAATCATGCAAAGTACTTTTCAGTATCATGTACAAAATCACTTGAATATTGAATTATAGCATAATGTGACACTTTATATTTTGAATCAAATGTAAATCTTCAAATGTAAATTATTCTAAAAAATCAAACATTCTGTCTTTTTAAATAATCAGAAAAATTAATGATCAGGTTCTTTTTTTTTTTCATCATCTTAACTTTCACTTTTATGTTTATTTTAGCAATATTGTTTTTGGCTTTCTTTATATTTTAAAATGATTCAGGTGTGGGAATTTAAATTATGCTTGGAAATTTGCTTGATAATACAGTACCAAATATATTTTAATATTGATATTTTATTTATTTGTTAAGTTGATAACTTTTTAATCATCTTACTGGAAATTACAACCACTAAAAGCTGGTTTTATAAGGAAAGAAGTATTCTCTAGTGTTCAAGCCAGCAGTTCTTTCAAGTTGAAAGGGAAAATTAAACCAAATGTACTATGATCAAACAAAACACCAATCCAAAGGAGTTTTTTAATCATCATTGTAAGATTTTTCAGATTAATTTTCATTCACAATATTTTTAAATTTGGAGAATGTTTCCTCTAATTATTTTGCTATATTTTTCAAAATATGCAAACTTTAATTATCTTTTTTTTGCATTCTGTGTTTGGAATTCATCATCAAAGCTTATCACAAAATAATTTAAAACTCGTTTTGAAACTTAAAAACTGATTCATATTTCATATTATCATTAATAATTTAATATTATAAACATAACAATATATCATAGCTATTTTTATAATTGTTAACTTTTGTTCTAAATGTGTATTGGAAATTATCAAAAATATACAAAGGTTGATAAATAAGTCCATCTTCTGAGACTGTTATTGTACTTTGAGTTCAAATTTTCACTGTATAATGCTGATAAGAAATGTGATCATGTTGAAAAATAAATATTTGTTAATAAATGCATTTTTCATTATTAGGTTACAGACTTATTGATGAACTTAAGTACAACCTGGTGCAAAGCTTTCCAAAATAGTGTGCTGAGATATTTCAAAATAATTACACTTTCTTTTCTTAAATTATTAACTAAACTTTTTATTGAATTATTCTTTTTATACACGATTTGAATTGTATATTTTGCTTGGCTAACAAAACTTAAAAGAAAGTAATGTGTCAAAGAAACTTTTATTTTATAAAATTGTCTCACCATTACAGACATGTGAAAAGCTTTAACAATTAGAAAATAACTGGAAATGCTGTACAGAAATGAGAAAAGTAGAATATGAACCACCATTAAATATTGATTTTACTTCAGTATTTGTGTAAGTGTCGTTTAGGATGGTCGGGTCAATCTGATAATAATGGATTTAATTATCACATAATTTACTTAGCTATCTAGTAAAATCCAGATATTTGTTCTGCTTTACTATCTCTTTCACTTTCATTGTAAACTTCTGAAATGATAATATTTACTAGCTGGCAGATTTCTTGCTCTTTGTCTATGATTAATAGATCTGTATACCTTATACCTTATTTATTTTACCATTCTTATATGTTGTGCTGCTTTTGCAAGTGATTCTGTTGCTCTTTTCAAGTATCCTTTGTATAACCATGTTCACATAATTTTGTTTGAAATTCCTTTTTCTGTCTCTTTAATTCTCTTTAATTGTTTTTATTCTCATTTTTTTAGCTTCATTATTTTTTTATTAAACATGTAATTTCTGTCATGATCATTCTCTCTTTACACTGTATTCTGTCTCCTCATATTTTGATGGTCAACTCAACACTTTTCCTCTCTTTCTCACTTCATATAATATTTATTAATGTCATCTCAAGAGTGCAGGGTTTTTTTTATGTGGTTATTTTAAGTTTTAAGAAGGGGCCCAAGATATTTTTTATCTCCAAAGTATTTTTGCTCTCTTGTCTTATTTTGGAACAGATTTCTCCAGTAAATGGAATTTTTAGGATTTTCCGCATCAGTGGCAGTCGTAATATAAGCCTATGACTACTTTTGTTCTCAGGATAATCTTGCTTTTTATCATCAATTCCAAGATCCTTCCTTCCATCAGACATTTATATAGTTACTGGGGACTATTTCATGTACAATGGCAGAGGTAATATAATCATATGATTTTGACATTAATAATCCTGCAAGTTTCTTATCAGACAAATTGTATGCAGCACAAGCAGTCTCTAATTATCTTGACTAGTTCTTATTGAATTAAGGCTTTCTGTTTTTGAGAGTCCACAGAGTGATGTGTAAGCTATGTGTGACTATAAGCAATCATACTGGTATCATCAGTTTTCTAAACTGTTGGTAGCCATCCTTGTACAATGAATGGGCAGTCATCATTTTATGTACAGATACACATCCCCTTTCAAACCAGAATTTATAGACTTAATCCTGTCCTTGTGCTTTCATGTTCACAATTTTATGTATCATTTTTCACAAAGAAGATAAATTAATTTCTATATTATGCCAATATTTTAATCTATACAATTTATATATTATTTAGATTTGCTTTTCTTTTATGTTCCTTCTTGCATTCTCATAACCTGCTCTAGAAAATTTGTTTTTGGTCATATCTAATTTTTGTTTTATTTCTTTCTCTGTTTATTTGTTTATTAAATTTTAATTTAAAAAATCCATTCAATCAGTTGTCAATGATTTTTAAAATAAATGATTGTTAAAAACTAAAACGAAACTAGCTCCATGAAAACTAAAAACCTAAAAAAAAAGAAATTTAATTATTTAATAGATGGTGGCAGATAAAAACTTAGCTCTATTCTATAATAATTGTACAAAAACCTGAAGCATAAAGCTTTAAACAACTGTAAATAAATTTTACTGAAAGAGGCACTACTTAATTATGAAAAACCCAAACATTAAATTATAAAATGAACAAGAGACAATAATTAGTGTTAGTAACTTCAAGTGATTAAATAAAACCAAAAAGAAAACTACACATAAATTCTGAATAGGGTTTTTATCGACATAAACCTATAAATCAAGAATGTGCTGGTAACAGAATTCTGATAGTTAACATTTTTAAAACCAATCCAAATTAAAATTAAAGTATGGATTACCAATATTTTGAATCTGATGAATTTGGACACTAACAATTAAGTAGAAAGCAACTTGAATAAAATCAAACAACAAATTATTAATTCTAAAGAAACAGGGTACAAGTATTATTAACAAGCAATTTGAAAATAAAATGTGAATATAGTGTTAAAAGAAAAGAGCCTGGAAACAACAAATTATTTATAATGTATCTTTACTGTTGGAAGAATGATGAAGGAACTTCACAGAAAGTCCAAGATGTATGAGATAACTGAGAACAAATTATAAAAGAAAATGAAGGGATTCAATAGAAAAAAAAACAGTCTATTGTTTTCTTCTTTTTGAAAATTGTACCCATGTTTAATTTAGGAAAAGATTATTTAATAAAACTGCCATCAGTCTCATAGATGGCATTTATAGTGTGTCAGAAATGACTGCATGCCTGTATAGGTGGTTTTTCATTAATGTGAATCATCATATCCATGATGACAACCTTCAATGCATCCTTTGTACTTTGGTTCTGTGGTTGGTCTCTCTCTTGACAATGCTTAAGGAGAGCTAGGAAGCCATATGTTGGAGGTGATGATCCTGAAAATCAGCCAGCCATTCCTGCATCATGCAGTCATGGAAGATATACATTCAGCCCTCAATCCAAGACTTAGCCACCCTGTAGAGATCTTCAGTGTAAATAGTGGCATTGACTTTGAAGCCATGGAAGAAGAAGTAGGGTTGCATATGTTCCCCATTGTTCATGACCCACAGGACCATCATGGACAGTGTGAACTTTGTGCATATTACCATGGATGTCTCTGTGGGGTAAACACTGAGCGACATGTTGTTCCTCCTGTTCACCTGGCCATTTTCCAAAAGCAGGATATCTCTGAGTTGCTGTGATTGGCAGCTAGTGGCACATACAAAGAATGCTTTTTCATTTCCTGTGTCAGATTGGAAGGTATCATGTTAATACTCTTGATATGTGTGAAAGAGAAATGAGAAGGTTAAAACTGTGTGCATGCCACGTAACATTATATTAGGTCTTATTCTATTTATGACTCACTATAACTGTGTTCTCAAATACCTGGCACACAATGTATCAAACATGAAGTTTAACTGAGAAAAAATTCAGTGATGAAAATGGCAGAAATATTGCAAAATATATTTTGAATAAATCAATAAACAATCAAGTAAATATTTTTAGAATCCAAAAGATGAAAAGAACTGTTAAGTAAGAAAAAAAAAAGGAAAGGAAAAAAAGAATTTAAAAAAGACAAGTGAAAAGAGGGAAATTTTTATTTTCATTTTAGGAGCTTCCATCTACTAGAGAGTAAGCGCTTAATGAAAGAGTCTTGGCAAGATTAGATAGGTTAGGTCAAAAGGAATCAAGAGCGAAAAGAAAGTGATTTGAGTGCATTACTAAATTGGAAAAAAACATTTAACAAGTGCATTAGTTGAGAATCCACACCAACCAAAGGAAAAAGAAAAGAATAGAAAGAGTTTTAGGTTTTGCGGGCTTGAGTATGGGGAGGATTGGGTCAGACAAGGAGGCCACCATTCAGTGTATAGCGCTATATTCGAGTTACCTCTGCAGATGCGATTCTGGGGACCCGTACACTTGCTGTATTCATACTGGTGAGGTTGGCATTTGGGTACACACACTGAAATAGACACAAACATGCTTTGCTGCAGTAGGCATTTTTAGTCATAAGTTATAACCTTTTTGAACCACTTGTAAGCTGATCATTGGACCAATAAGCATAAAATCTTGCTAGGTCACTGAGTATTTAATTTCAATTAGCAATAAACTTGAGAAACTTGTAAGGCAATGATATCTAAAAATATCTGGCTGGTTTTCTAGTTTTCTGATTTTGCAAAAATTTTATATTTTTTTTAAAAGCATTTCAATCAACAATATTTCTCCTTCAATTATTACAGAAATCGATTTAACATAATCTTACTAATTGGAATTGAATTTATTCTAAGCAAGTAAAATCTCTAACCTTTGATATATGTCACACAAAAAAGTAAATTAAGAAATATAAATCTACTGTTGTGATAACAAGAACTTTACTTTAAATGTAAAATTTATATACTGGAAGTTAATTTGGTTGTTATGATTTATTTATGTGCAAATTATATCAGTCAGTTATACTTGAGCATCTGTAATGATTATATCAAAATGAGATTTGTGGTAGCATATTATGTAATATGACTGGCCAAAGTTAAGCACAATTCTGGCACATTTGATTTCACTAATTAAGCTGATAATACTTTTGGAAGTCATCTCAAATCATCTTTGTTACTGATAACTTAAATTCTACCATCGCCTAATGAGGAACCAAAATTCCGAAACATGAAAGTTTTTTGTGTTGCAATGTAAAAATGTTTTTATTGTAATATATTATAATAAAAATATTTTAATAATAATATATTTTGCTCTATGTTTGTATTGAGCACTTTTTAAAAAGTAAATGCTAAGAACTATAGATTCTAACTCCATTTGTTCTTTCTCTTTCTTAAGAGAACTTAAATTCTCAAGTTTAAGCGTGATTTTGGTAGGTTGTATCCTGCAGTCTTAGAGATTCATGAATATTTTAATAACTTAAGAATATCTCTAGAGACAATGAAATTTCTAAATATATTTAGACTGTTACTGAATATGATAATGTAAAACCTGGAAAGTAAACCCCAATAATTAGGGTAAATAGAAGTAATAATTATTTAAAGTTAACTTGAAATCTTAAAAGTGTACCATTATATAAAATATTAGAGGTAATGATTAGGTCACTCTGGCACAAGACCATCACAAATCTTTAAAAAATCATAACACTGATAAACTGAAAACATGAAGGAATGCATTAATCTTCATTTTCTTAATGTATAATATTGTTTGGACTATCTTTAGTATATACTCTTTTTGTTTATGTTTGAAATTTTGAAACAATATGGTTAATTAATATTTTTTTCATATAGGCTATTGTCATCTTTGCTGAAGAAGGTCAAAGAATGTATGAGCTGAAGTGTTATAAAAACATGATGAGAATAATCCAAACAAATCTCTGAATATTGATAGATTTTACTTAGAAAAAAAAAAGAATGACATAATGTGTATTTACTGATAACAGGGAATATAATTAATCAATTCTAAATCAATATTAACTGCAAAAAATAAAGTGTACATAGGTACATCAATAAGTTCATAGCCTAATGATGATAAAGCATTTATTTTAAACAGCAAATATTTCTTTTTCAACACAATCCACTTCCTTGTCATCACATTTAATTCACATAAATCAAACATTACACAATAAAAGTTTTTAATCAAAATACAATTAATAACTATATGTCAGGCTAAGGCTTTATTGTTCTGCCTGTGTACTTAGTATAACTTACTTGATCCTAAGTGATCACAATAAGCTAATTTGAGCCTATACTAATGACAATAAAATGGTCATAATTACAGGTTTAAAGCCTTCCAGACGTCTTTTTTTACTAAAAGAACTTCCTATTTTATTGTGAAGCTACATAAAATATATATAAGGAGATATTTGATTGCTAATATATATTTGTAAAGTATATTTATATACCATATATTCAAGTAGATATATAAATTTGCTAAGAGCAGAATTTTTGACTCACAAAAAGTGATTTTAATGATTAAAATATGAATTCCACATATTTTTGTGTATGCAATCTGGTTGTTTATTTACTGCAAAATATAATAATTAAAACATTTTTAATTAAAATTAATTTTAAACATTTTCCCCAAGACTCAGTTGGGTTGCCTCTCTTCATCAAACTTTAGAAGTACTGCCTGCATTTGTTGTTTGAGTCTTTTTATAAGAACCAATTGCTCTCTTATATGATTAATATAGCAATGATTATACCCCATACAATAATATATAGTCTTAGCTAATAAGATCAAGTGATCCAACAGAAAATAATATGACCTAGCAAGCTTTTGTAATGGAGCAAACAACTTCAATTCTACACAAGATGTAGTTAATCTTCTTTGGTAAAGAAAACCAGCAGAATTTACCCTTCTTTTTTTTCCATCTTTATACTCCCTACATATAACAAACATTGGACGTAATTATGTTTTCTTTTATCATTCTCCATTTTGGTTATACTAATTACATGACAGCCAAATAGATAAATTATACTATAGGAATGGAACATTCATGATACTAATATTTTGGTCTTCTTCATGATGAAGGGACATAAATACATGTCACGCTGTCAATTGTATGATTCATGATCCCTGCACATAATTCATAATGGAATAGGTCTCAGTATAGGATATTTTGATGATGCAGATAGAAAGTAAATTATGTATATATGTCAGCTACATGGAAAATATCTTGTGCTGAAACTGTGAGTAAAATTACCCACAGTGAAATTATTAAAACTGAAACTAATTGTTGTAATGGTCAATCATTTTATCTAATGCTACACTTATTCATTGTAATGGCTATATTGGTCCAAAATAGGTATCTACTGAGAATAGTCTTTATTATTTGAATAGTTTTTATTATTTTAGTTATTTCTTTATTTCATTAAAAATTTCAAGCCATAAACACAATCCAAATTTTAAAAAACCTCAGCTAAATTTATTATGCAAATTATTTATGTGTGTGTGTCAAGGTTTTCCCAGATAATAATCCTGAGAAAATGTCTGTATACACACACACACACACACATATTGCCACAATTCTGTATGTTTCAGAATAAATATTCACACACACACATATATACATACATACATACATATATATATATATATATATATATATATATATATAAGATTGTCATAATTATTGAAACTATCAATGAATTATCAACATTTAAAAAACAACAAAAACAAAACAAAATTATTCTTTTCAGGATTAATAGTAATTTTTGTTCTGTAGTACATAAGATATAAGATGTTATAGAATAAGTTGTTAAAACATTTTTCAAAATGTTTCTGTGATTTTTCAGTTCTTGAGTTTTATATCTTTACTCAATTATAAGCTATAGGTGAATTTCATTATTGTGATGTTGGAACAAAATAAAGTTATTTTTTGTGTTACTTTAGTGTGATGATGTTTATTTTTGCATCATTTCCTAGTGTAATTGTACATCTGTATATTTTTTTAATCAAAAACTTCAAATAATATCTTTTGGTGTTGTTTGATGTTTTTGATTTTTCTTTTTTTTTGTTAGGTACCAAATAAAAGACTGATAAATATGCTTTTCATGACATTATGTTCCATGAGTTGACCACTGCATTAGCAAAGCCACCCACCACAAGCATGTTTTGGGGCTGGAGTCAGTTCAGAACAAACTGTACATTGCAGGTTCAAGAAAAATTAAGTTCTAGTGATCTGGATCTCCAAGATGAGACCGCTTGTGGTTGTAAGTTATCACTTAACAATGAAGAATTTAAAACAACTATATGAGCTTGTCTAGACACTTGGACATTGGAAGCAAAGTGGGAGTAATCAATACAACAGTCAGAAGACATCTGGCCCAAATCAATTTGACTGATCATCAGCAAGCAACTTGCACAATTTGATAGTTGCTCCAGTTTGCTTGTTTGTTAAAAAATTAACATTTTCTTTATTATATGCTGTTACTGAAAAGAAGTTTTCTCTATGGCTACATTTCCAAAACCAAATCATCACCACAAAGTATCTTGTGGTGTTGTAATTAGAACTCTTGTAATGTGGTCAGGCCAACACATTAGAGTCTTATTCTGATGCATCAAAAGTTGCAAATACTTTAGCCAGCAGCAGAAAATAGAAAGGGGCCTATTCTGCAGCATGATAATGTAAGACATCATATTTCACAAGTCACTGAACAGAAACTGAGGCCTCACCTTCCCTATTCATGTTCCTTATCTCCTTAACTTTTCAGGTCTTACAAATACTAGCTAGCAGATTTATGCCAATGCAGATCAGGTTGAAAATGTCTTCTCATAGTTTGTTAGTACCCCATGACTTCAGTTCTTATTGTGATAGAATAAATTAACTGCCAGATCATTAGAAATACTGTGTTGATTTTAATGCTGCTTATTTTGTTTAATAAAGTTATGTCTTAACCAAGTTATAACATTTTAAATTATAGCTTCTCAAAATATAATCAAGAAGTTCTTCTTGAGTAGAAATATGTATTCTTCAGTTGTAGATATATGTATATATATAATGAATATATATAAACAAAGTGGAATCTCAGGTACCAAGACAACATTAGACAGTTAAAATAACCTTTCATAGATTAAATATCTATTAAAACAACAAAGATGAAATGTTTTTGTTGTTTTTATGTATTTATAAACTAAATCAATTGTAAATTATATTTATTATTAAGTGTTAAATAGATACTTTAGAATTAAAAATACTTTCAGTGTTTTTCAACAACAAATGATTTTAAGACGTATTCATCTTTGATTAAAATGTTGTAAAATATTTTCATATAAAATATGATGTTTTCATGTGAAACAATTTTCACTTTATTTCTAAGGAAAAATACCTAGAAGACTTATATAAAACTCTTCTTAAAATTTTGAAAATTTGTTTTGGTGAATTATAAAAATGCTGTACCTGATCTAATATAAATTATAAAATGTGTCTTATGTTTGTGGGTCTGTGTATGACTACGTAAGCAAGAACCAAAATGAAAACTGGCCTCTTGGCCAAACAAGCCAAAGATTGCTAAGAGGAAAAAACTATAAATTAAGTTGATGATGTAAGTCCAACCGAGTGGACATGTTGATTATATGACAATAAGAAATAATTAAGACCCAATAGACTAATTGTTATGAGGAATGATTATCATTTATTTGGATGATGCTGGAATATCAGTCATATGGAACATATTAGAGTTGGGTAAAAGGTGGTGTCGTATCCTCAAATATGTTATGCGGGCATTCTAGTTGACTTATTTAAAATATTTATAATAAAAAATATCAAAGAACAAGTAGAGAATAAGCAAAGATCAGTTACCTATCAATTAAGATACTAGTTGTTTTAGATGATTTCATATACATATGCATAAATATATACATATATGTGTATGTATAATGAAAGGAAGATGCAGATATATATTAAATGTTAAAGTCCACTAACATTCAAATTTTATTGGTAATTTTCAAATAAAGAAAGTAGAAAGTTCATAACTAGCCAATATGGTGTTTGTATAGATATCAGTTTAAGTTTGAAATGACTGTAGTTCAAGTTCTATAACTAATAGTAATTAGCCTCATGTGGCAAATATTACTTTACAGTTTGGAATCATTTTACATGAGTATCTTGATTGAAAGAAATTTTATTAATAGTGGGTTGCTTAAAATGCCTTTAAATTCAAAAAATTAAACATATCTTCTCAGTTGATTTTAATAAAACTTCTTTGAGCAAATTCCTACTGCCTAAATATATGTTATGCATTCTTAAACATACAGATGCTTGTATATTGATTTATTTATTAAGTTAACAAACAAGAATCTCCATAAGGCTTTTTGTAAGACTGACTTCTTTTTGTAGATATATATATAAGCATATATTGATTTATATATATTTTTTTTTTGTTATTTTTTCTTTTAAGACTGAAACTTAATATCTATATTTTATATGTAGAATTCTTCATAAATGTTTTTGTCATTCTTGAATATTTTCCAATAATCTTTGAGAAATATATTGTGACATTTTTATGTTTATTCATGTACAAATATGTGTGTAACAAGAAAATAACTCATTCTGTGAATCACAGAATGCAAAATCAGATGTTTTTAGTGATATCCTATTTATGACTGAGTTAAAATTAATAAAATCCAATGTTGATACTTTCAAATGCTTTAGTTAGTGCTTAAATTGAAGTTATTGATGCCTGCTTGGACCCTACACCTATTAATGCTTGCTTTAATCTTGATCAAGGTTCTGCTTGCTTAGGTTTTGTTATATTTGTAACTTGTTTTATTGTGCTCATATTCTAACTAGTGATCTTTAGCATATAGGAAGCTTATGTAGATCCTAGCTTCATAATTCTTAAATTAAGCCAAATCAAAGCCATAACTAAATATACTGCAATCAAACCTTGTACAAACAAATCATTACTGTCCTATTAATTTGCTTTATCTTGGTTCTTGATTCATTTAAGTTAAACTTTGCTTTGACCTTGACCCAAAGGATATTGATCATGATTCAAACCAAACTAAGGCTATTTTTAAAGTACTGAAAATGATGTTTGTGTCATATGAAAACTTCAAGAATAATAACTATGAGTGTAGAGTTACTATCATTTAATTTACAAAACAAGATTCATCTTTCTGAAATTAACAGTTGCTTTTTCATTAAAGTAAACATATGATATGGGCAGAAGCTCTAGCAAATTGCAACTGAAGAAATAAAAGAAAAAAAATGCTAATTTGGTTGGTTACTACTGTTCCTCTTAATTATAATGAATAGTATAAAAATACTTGATAAACCATTTTATTTATGATAAAAAGGAATAAATGTATAAAAATAAGGGTCTGCCTGAAATATATAACTCATAAGAATATCTACACAATTTTCTCCTGTTGGAGAAAATGCAAGTTCAAAATTACAAGCAAATGTTGAACTCCTATTAAACCAGTTTTTGTCCCTTCATAAATCATAAGGAATTACTAATGTTTCTAAAGTTAGTTATGAGTAAAATATGACTCAAATTTGAATCATCACCCTATAAAAGATGACCTTTCATTTTGGAACTGTGGAGTTCTTTAGTTTTGGAAAGAAGGTCACTGTTTTGTATTGTGGCCTACAGAGAGGAAAGAAATTCCTGATAATGGTAAGAATATGGGTATTGAGTGAGTACTAAAATGTTCTCAGTTCAATCAAGAAAGGATTTTAAAAATTCTGATATTTGGTCAGATTTTGGGAAGTTGACAGAGAATTTTTCAGTACCCAATTATTAATATCTAAAGCAAGATTAGCAGCATACAGATGTCATTGTTGTTGTTGATGCTGTTATTATTATAATTAATCTAATAATTTAAGTCAAGGATATCATTATGAGAAATTACTGCAGGACTCATAATTATAATTAAAACCCAATCTGATTATAAATAATGCTATGACATCTGCTAAAGTAGCAGTAGTACTAATAACATTAATATTTAGTAACAGCAGTCATCATGGAAGTAATATAATGCTAAAATTTGTAATAATTTCTATTATATTGTAGCTAAAACACCAGTAATTATTGATGCATTTAAGATGTTGAAAGTAAAGAAAGAAGAGTGAATTATGTGGGTCATGTTTGAAAGATTTTATAGAGCAGATGAATGCAGTTTTTTTACTCTGAGAGTACAATGGAAATTTAATGTTTTCCCTCTGGGTAGAAGAAATATTTGTTGCTGGAAATTATAAAATGCCTTTAAATACAGGAAAGATCAAATCATAATGAAACAAAAAATAAATTTTATAAAATATTTTAAATAAAGACAATTGAAAAACATGACATACAACATTTTGAAATGATGTTGATCAAAATTGAAATAGATTTTTATAATCACCTCAGTATTTTGAGGTTAATATTTGTAGATACACAAACATGACATTAGTCAGAATGAATTTCTTTTATATCAAGTTTTAATTAAGGACTGAGTGCTGTGGGGGAAGAAATTAGGTTTTGGAAGTTAAGTAGTAAAGAAAAAAAAAAGGATTTTCTTTAATGAGCCTTATGAAGGTAAAATAATTTTGCAAGCAGGTTATTTGGCACTAGATCATGTTTCCCAAATGCATAGAAGGACTTTGCATTTTTAAAATGGCTTCTAAATACAGCATTCTATTTACTAGACCACCACAAATACTTAATATAAAGGTAAATTATGTTTTTGGCTGTTGGAGAATGGCATTATTTCAAATCAGAGATAAAAGATCATACCTTTGTATGTAAACATTGACATATTTACATTAAAAAAATTATTTATTGTCTGTGATTCTATTGCAGATAACAGTGTGATGAATTTCTGAAAGCTATAGAGAGAAACTTACAGTCAAATAAATATCACTTGAATAATACCAGATTGTTGAACTTTTGTCAAGACAAATGCATGACTGTAGCAATGAAGAGTTAAATAAAAAGACCATTATCAAAAGACAGATACAAAAGAACTTATAGGAAAAAATTAAATCTATAATCAAATAACTTTTTAAACTTTAGGTTAATTTTAATCCAAATTATTGACTTTTTTTGTATCTATAATTAAATGATATTACATTATATGAGATAATAAAAAGAACATGTTAAATTTAATCTCATATTATTGGTGACTGTTTGTAAAGAGGAGATAAAATAATTTTATTAGAAGGGATGATCTATGAAATTACCAAGATATCAATTAACATTAACTCGTCTACAATGTGGGACTTTAATAAATTTTAATTAGAGATTCAAATTGAAAAAAAACTCTCTAGATAGAAATCATAATTCTGTAAGGTAGTCATTATCTGCTATAATAGGATAAGAATTGTTGAGTCATCAGATCAAAAAAAATTACTGATTAGATAGAGTATCCCTTGAATAATTTACCAGTTCAAAAATCTATACAACTAATGTAGTTTGTTTGGCAAAGTCTGAGATCTGACTGACCAAATATGCTGACATATTCTTAATCAGAAAGAAAATATAATTTTTGTTTAAACTGACTTAGATGAAAATGTAAGCTAGCTTTGCTTGTAGATATTTGCTGAATAAGAGTTAAAAATGTTCATCCCAAAAGGTTACATATTCCTTGTTTTGTTTTTTTTATAACTTTTAATTTAACTGCCTCTCACTGGAAACATTTGTTACATAAAGGCAGACATCTTATTCCTAATGGCCAAAAGCAACAACAACACCAACAAAAATAACTGACATGAAAAAGTAGATAACATGAAAGAAGCAATAAATAATAATAATAATAATTTAAAATTTTTGTGTGGACATTATGTCTCATGCAGACATCTCTGAACAAGAAGTGTCATGCAACAATGTCCAAACAACAAAGTTGTTAGCAACAAAGGTTTAGGTGAAAGGTCAGAGGGTACTAACAACACATAAAAAGCAACACTGATGACTATTGAATCAGACAACATCAAGAAGAGAGAATACTATATTAATAGACTAATGCTTTCATTCTTATGTTTTGAGATAAAAAAGACAAAATTAACAATATAAAATAAAAAAATATCAGAGAAAATAAAGAAAAGGATAAAAATGAAATACTAACTTCTGCATTTAGCATCGAATGTAGGTCCGCACTGACGATGCATGTAATAGCCCTTTCCGCAGTCCTTGGTACATTCTAAAAGAACACAGAAATAAAGATAGTGAATGTCATTAAATTGTAAAAAACAAAATCAAAACATTTTTGTCTGAAGACAATAGATTAGTTTCATGTTGGCATCATGGGAAGAAAAATATCGCAATAATCAATACATACAACATATCCCATATTAGCCAAAATAATGGACACCTGAAGATGGTTAGAGGGTACTTGGCTGAAACATTGTGTCTATAATAACATTTATAAAAACTGAATATAAGAATAATAGTTTGAATAAATCAAATAAGTCAATGAAGAAACTAGTTTGAATGAACTAAAATATAACATCAACCCATATAAATTGTTTCCACACTAAATTATTCTTGCTATTTTTATTTTGTATCACATTTGGAAAGAATTTCTTAAGTTTATTGTTTAAATTTTAATTATCTATATAGTTATAGAGAAATATATTGTGGTAAGCACTTTAGTATGGATATGGGATTAGCAAAAGTGTTTATTATATGATGCAGATCATAACAGGTCACAAGTGAAAATAACCACTGTTAGAAAATGTAACCAATTTGTCTTCAGTTTTTGATTTCTTCTGTAGAAAATCCTTTAAACTATGAATGAAAAGATCTAGTACAGGGCTTATTAAAGTTGTGTCTTAAGGATATGGTGCTTGGAAAAAGAAGTAGAGGAAAACCAGAATAGAGGTTGGGGTATAACATAATTCTGTGGTCACAACTAAGGAATGGCAGACACTAAATAAGCTTACTAAAGATCATAATGAATACAGGGAATAAGTCATGTTATTTTGCAATCTGCTACAGATGAAAGCAGTGACTAATAATGATTATCAGTTTGCACATGATATAAAAATTGTTTTGCAAACATTATTTTATAATAATTATAACACCATCATGATTATTGAATGATCTTGCTAAGAAATCTACATTAATTTTAAGCTTGATATTAGGAAAATGACATCTCATAAAGGATTTAATGAACAATAATTCAATTCTAAGTATTAGTATCTAATACTTCTAACAGTAAATAAAAGTTTTCATAATCTTATATCATATAAATAAATTCATTGGTTTTGCTAAATTCAAACAGAAATTGCAATAATAGTAAATTAATTTTATTGCACCTTTACAAAAAACAATATTTTGTTGATTGGATAGAGAACATAGAAGTGGGAGGGGCTTTACAGAGGTTAAAGTACACTGCTTATTGAATATTTACAGCTGCATTCAAAAAATTATTACAATCTAATATCACTCCAAAAATAAAATGTACTTTACAAAATTCCAATTTATTTGGGACTATTGAGAGTAAGGAAGGTAGCAAAAACTTTGGATACTATTACTGATAAGGATCTTTTATCACAAAAAATACATTTAGTAGCACTATTCTCTTAGTGATGTTTGCATTGATTCCTAATCACTTGATCTTTAATACAAAATATACTGTGCACAGCTATCACAGTTTACATAAATTATACATTAAATTATATATATATATATATATATATATATATATATATATATATATATATATATATATATTTTTAGTTTGAATTTCTGAGATGAGATATCTTTATTCTTATGCACTGATCAATTTGGACCTGTTTCCTTGTCTTCTTTTCTCTTTCAGATGATATATCCTCTGACATTCTAAGGTAAATTTTGTCATTTTTTTAATAGTTTCATGCAAAGCAAAGCAATAATAGCGATAGAATGCAGTGGATTACAGGGAGTGAAAGAGAACAAAGACTTTTGTGGGGATGATAGAGGAAAGGGCAAAAAGGAACAAGGTTCAAAAAGATGGAAAATGGCAATTGACTTTGCATTTAAATCTTTGAAGATTTTAGTTATCAGGGAAGCAAGAAATCAGAATGGAGTTCTACAGGTGAGAAGTGTAAGAAAAGAAACTGTTGAAGTAGAAGTGGCAGTTGCATCTAGGTAGTTCAACAGTAAAACTGTGAGACCTAGTTGCCAATCTAGTAGTAACCTTGCATACATGTAGTCGGAGACCCAGGAAAAAAAAGCTCATCAGAAGAGTTGCCATAAGATTTTTGTAGAAAATACAGTTACTTAGGTAAGAAAGTAACTGAAGTTGAGGTGCCTGGTCAGAATCAATTACATTACAGACCCTTCATTGAATTTTGCCAAGAATGGAAACTCAAGAACACCAGAGTAGATTTGGCAATAGTATTCAATGCACGGACAAATGGTAGATTTATAAATGTTCAAGATGGATTCTGACAAGAAAAACTTTCTGGCATAATACAGTGAACCAACGTTCTTTGCAGTAAATATAGAAATTGATTTGATATAGTTGGTCTGCTTCATGTCAGTGGCCAAGAAACTGTAGAGTGTTGCTTTTCTGGAGTTTAGCATAGCTGACGGCAGACAGAAATGGTTCTCTATGGTTATTAAATAAAAACAGTTTTGTTTTGGAGGCAGTAAAATTTACCAGCTATTTTTTGTCCCAGTTAACTACTGATTGGAAGTCCTTTTCACAAGTTGCCAAGTTTACTTTGTTAGGTGTGTCAGAATTGCTACTAAGACAGGAATAAATGGTTGTGTCATCTGCATTAAATACCTACCTGGGAACTGATGACATCAGGAAGATCATTGATGAAGATAAAAAATAATGTAGGTCCAAGGATAGAGCCTGGAGAACCCTGCATTAGTATGAAATGATTGGGAAGCATCCCCATTCAACACGACCTTCATTAAACAATTTGTTAGGAATGATTGGATTAAGCCATGACACTGTAGCCCTTGGGCTTGCATAGAATGCCAACATGCCAAACCCTATTGAATGCCTTCAAGATATCTAGAGCCACAGACTGAGCTTCACCATTCTTATTTAAGTCTTGATAGATAAATTCAGTTTCTTTAGGATGACTGCAGTGATCCTGCCACATCCACTTGCCTTGTGGGGATCTAATTTAGAAATGATTTCAGAAACCAGTGATGGATTTATTTGCATATCAATCAGTAGAGCCTTTATTCTAGGGGAAATTTGGCAGATATACTCCGGATGAGTTGAGAGTAGTGCTAGAAGAGAACTTCTGAGCAACTTCCTTATCTGCAGTAGATGTCAATACTTCAAATTGATTGGAGAGAGAAAGGACTCAGGGTTTGCTATTGTTCAGCAAACTCTTGCAGACCCACCAGTTCTCTAGAACCAAACTTGTGAGAGGTTATAGGATGTTCCATTCTATCAGCAAATTGTGACTTTGAGGTCAAGTGTTCACTCACTGTGAATCAATGACAAAGTGACATTTGTTACAATCAGACCTGTTGCTCTGGTATAGGCAGAAGAAGTGATTCTTTTGAGCTATAGCAGCTGAGCAGACAGGTGAGAACCAAGGAGATGATCATGGTTTCACTTGGTATTTTCATGCTGGAATTAAAAGTTTTAATCCAGGAAGAGACCACATTTATGAACAGGATGAATTAAAAATATCATTCCAAGGGGTATCACAAAGAAAGTCATGAAATGAGTCCTAATCAGTGTACTAATAAAAAGAAAGATATTCTATTAACAGGAGTTCATGACTGATGGGAGAGCAGAAAAAGATATATATTGACATGACTGCATGATCGAAATTGCCAAGAGGTCAGTGCTGCAGAGTACAAGATAAGTCTGGGGTGGAGATAAGGAAGGGATCAAGTAAAAAAGTGTGTTCATCAGAATGACTGGGGAAACATGTGAGGAGGTCTACCATTTAAGAGAGAAATTGAGTAATAGAGAACTTCAAGTCTGGATGCCAGAGATGTCAGTGGCATTAGAATGATTAAGCCACCTGACATGGTGGGCATTGAAGTCACCAAACACAAATATATTTTCAGACAGGTGTAGAGAGAGGGCTTTATCTATACCTTCAGAAATTCTATCTAACACACAAGAGTCATGAGAGGAAGAGGAATGATAAAGGAAGAAGAGATAGCTGAGTGAGTTTAGCAGTGAAAGTTGGAGGCACATGTAAGAACAGTCCAGAGACTCAAGAGAGAATTCCATTGCCAGTGGGAGATGTTCCCAAACATAGAGACTAAGGCCATGCATGTGGACACTTGAGTTCTTCTAAAAGAGAGGAAGATAGCCAGGATCAAAGAATTCAGATTAGTTTCGCAGAGAGCTAAGATGTCTGGAGAGTGTTCCATGAGGAATGATTCCACATTGCAGAAACTGGTATGAATGCCACATATGTTGGAGAAAAAAGATTGAAGGGTTTAAATCTTTTACCAAGCTGTTTGAGTTGTATTTGGTTTATTAATTTTGGTCATGTAATGTTTTTAAAAGTCCAAGAATAAAAGTAGCTACCTGTCATCTAAGGTAATATGTGCTGGTTTGGAATTGGTGCAGACAGCAGCATAGTGTAGCCCAGGATTGCTCACTGGAAGTGTTTACAGGAACACCTTTCTATGCACAACATGGCACTGCAAGAAACCCTATATTATGTACTTGTTGATCAGAGTAGTCTCTCTAGACACTACCCACGAGTTCAGGATCCTAACTTCCAATCAGAATGCAGCAACCAGAAAACTTCTAACCCAGTACTCTCAGTATGAAGAGTTATAGACACCATCTAGCCATATCACCAAACATTCATGACAGCCACCCCTATTAAGTCCTCAGAAGGAAACTGGAAACATCATCCTAAACAGGAAACAACAGATAAGCCTCTACACCTTTTCAAAAGAAGAGGAAAGAGTATGGACTGGGCAATTGGCATACCTATCTTGCAAACTCATTTGAAAGAATATTCTATAGAACCTTTTACCTCATTCAATGGGATATGTTATTCCTATTCCTATACCTGTTATGTCCCATAAGAAGTTTTAGAATTTGTAAATCATCTGGAATTCAAAAAGGAAAAACTGTTTTTTAACAGTTTTTCAATGTTTTTGTATTTTGGGTTATTTTATATGAGGCATTCAGGTAGTGAACTTTTGGAATATTAAGTCTAATGTTTGTTTTAGTGTTCATATTCATGCTAAGCCTACTGATTGAATGATTTGAGTATAGCAAGTATGCTGGTTCCTTTATTTTGTTCTCCAGTGCTCTATGTTATTTTAACTTCCTTCCATATGAGTTAGTCACAAAGGTAAAACCAGTATTGTATTAAAACAAGGCTTTTATAACATTGGCATGTTGCAATCACTGGAAAGACTTTTAAATCAGATATGACTGATCCAATATGGAGAAAAAAAGAGACATGTCCGTTTCTATGGAATGAAATAAAAATAATAAACATAGAAAAAATTTGTAGAATATGATAGAATAAATTAATATACATGGTATACTCAAATCATCCAGCCTATTGGATGTACATAGATATGAACACAGTACTGAATTCAGTAATTAAGAAAGGACAGACATTTGATTTGAGGCTTCAAAATTGTGATAAAGACCAAAAAAGACAAGGAAGCTTGTAAAAAACTCAATGTAGAATAATATCTATTTTTGTTTATATGCATGTATTAGTCCAAATGTTGTTTTCTCTGAAACTGTATTGATCAGTAATATTTCATTTGTGGCTTTCTTGAGAGCTTGAGTAATAAATCAATAGCACTCACATTACAGATACTGGTAGTTGATTCTCAGCAAAATGATCTAATTAAAAGACTAAATCACTCTTCAAGTAAGCTCTTCTAGTAATATATCTTGTATCTATATTTTGTAGTTTTATTTGATGATAACAACATGACCCTCTTATTATTGATATAAAGATTTGTAAATAGGATTTAGTTAGAAAGCCATTCAAAAGTTTGTGAGAAATTTGTTATTTGTAAACATATTTAGAACAAGATCTAAAAATATTTTACCTTTGCAAATTTTTTGTTCTTTTTCTGAACATGGCTGCACTTCAAACATCCCTTTTTCGCATGGAGCCGAACATTCTGAAAGACAATCAAAGAATATATCATAATCTGTTAAAGTGGCATAATTTTCAGCATTGATGAGAAAGAACTCACTTATTTAATAGTAAGGACAAAGAATCTATGAACAGTATTTCCAAAAAGATTTAAACAGTAATTTTTATACTGTAGAATTTACAAGTAAATTAGTTGCAAATGTTTTTAAAGTTAAGCTTTTCGCCTATAAAAGTTTTTTTTTTTTTATAATAAGCCACAGTACAAATATATTTATATATAATATGTCTATAGAAAGTTTAACATAAATAGGTTTCCAGAATTTAGTTGAAAGTGAAGATGTGGATAACATCTATGGATCACATGATCATATGTGAGGGCTTAAAAGACAAGTATGTTTTGATTATTTATTTAAAGATGATATGACTTGTGAAATATGAAAAGAGAAAGTTGAACAGAGAGAATAAAGGTTTTAATTTCCTTGCATCAAGCAAAATGCCTTGAGAAGTATAATAAAACAATTTGAATAGAAAAGACCAGATTGTCTTGACTTTAATGTAACTATTAGACATTGATTTAATTACAGGTTAGTTATTGCATTCAGACTGTAATTCTGCAAAGAAAACAGTAAATGTTTTTGTTTTCTACAACAATTATTTGAAAACAAGTAAAGAAAGAGGTAAGGAGTCAAATATCATTTTATTTCTATGCATAATTTTGTATCTACTATTAATTTAAGGAAAAGAGGAGATGATACAAAAATATATATGTTAAGGGACATATGTATTTTATAAAAAAAATAGGTATGTTACGATATGGGTACTTATGGCAAAAATAATTAACATATGGCGAATCAGAGATTTGAGTTTAGAACTTACTCAAAGAGTCAAATAAGTCATTAAACTGAAATAACACCTATAACTTCACACACAATTATCTCCAATCAAGATTCTATATAGGTTTGCAAATTTGGTAAAAGCCATTTGTTCTGTTATTTATACAAAGCCCACCCCAATATGAAGGCCGTATTCTTAGATTATAATTTGAAATGACAGTTTCTTTAATACAGGCATAATGATTTCTTTTTTAAGAATCGCAATAAGAAAAGAAATTAGCAGAAAAATCATAGAATGAATCAAAGGTAATTCAGACCACCTGGCTAGTTACATGAGTGTTAAAAAAGAAATGTGTCAGGCCAAAGGGTGTTAAATAGTTTTTTGTTCTTATTTGCATCATCAATATAAGTGAGAGAAAAGACAAGGGGTTAAAATTGCAAGATTTAATTACAATTAATCTTAATATTTAGTAGTCATCGTGTCTTGGTTTTTTATTTTTCTTTCCTTTTTTACCCTGCTGTTACTGGCCATTCACTCATGATTCTAGGGACAGACACCCAACTACTATCTATTACCACCTCTGCCTCTTAATATGTCAGTTAAACATTGTATGGTCAAAAAGTTCTGTGGGATGCAGATTAACTCTTCAAATATTTTATCTGAAGGTACATTCTTTGAAATAACAGGACTGCTTTTTCTTTTAAAGTTCTTTCAGAGGTATGTCTCTGCCAGTTTTAATTCTTTCTTCAATTTTTAATAAACATCTCAATTTAAAACTTAGTAAATTTTTTTTTTAATAGGAGTAGATTAGACTTTCCTATTTTTTCCCTTGTCCATATTTCCCACCCCTTTAAAAAGTAGTAGAGGCTCATCCCTTGTTTCCTGTTTAGGAAAGAATTTGCAGTTCCTTTCCTTTTTTCAATCCTTAATAGTGGTGCTGTCATGAATATTTTGTGATATGTGTGCATGGGGGAAACGTCTCTTCATATGTTGGTAATGAGTTGGCAGTTTTTTGGTTGCTGTTCCTTTCTTTCTTCAACATTCAGGGTATTTGTACCAACTCCCTCTTCAAAAAGTCTCCAGACATCTTAGCTCTCTGCAAGACTAATCTTAACTCTTCCATAGCCTCCTCTGATTTCTCAATTCCTGACTAATTCCTCTCTTTAGGAAGGACTCTAATGTTTAGAAGAGTGGTGGTTCAGGACAATTTTCATTTCACTATTTGATAGGAAAGATTCAATCAGATAAAAAATTCATTCAGAAATACCATAACCTTTCAACTTGTGAAGAATACCAGCATACCAAACCCTGTCAAATGTCTTCAAAATACCCAATACAACAGCCTGAACACCATTCTTATCTAAAGTTTAATAGACTCTTTCAGCTTCATTAACTTCATTAACACATCAGCAGTTGACCTAGAGAAGCAAAAGCCATATTGCTTGTGTGAAAGAAGACCCTGCGAGGCAAGATATGTAAACAATTCAGAATTAATTAGAGCCTCTAGTACTTTGCCGAAAAGAGGTAGAAGATTATGCCCCAACTGAAAAATGTTTCAGAAAAGGAGAAATCCTCTATGCAGAATTAAGTAAACTTTGTGTATTAGAAACTGCATTAATTGTGATTTTAATGCTACCTCAAGTATTTTTGAAGATATTCTATCTTTAACATATAATTCATCCACCCCATGAGACACCACATCACATGGCTTAGCCCAGATAATGTAAAAAAAAATTGACTTCAACATTTCAGACTCTTCGATTAGGCAGTTTGTATCTGATACCAGTGTATACAACTACTTGGAATCTGATCACAGAATACTTGTAACTAAACATCAGTTGACAAAATAGCTCACTTTCACTTAGGTATAACATCCAAGCACTTAAAAATGGAAGGGTAAATTTAAAATTCAGTAATAAACTAGAGTCTAAATTGATGTCAATAAATCTTGATCAAACAACATGCTATTATATCTTAATTAGCTGAAGTGTTTAAGACCATTCCTAGAATACCTAGTTGGAACAACAATCCTGAGTTGAAAAAATTGATCCAAGAATGGAATAAACAAAAGAGAAAATAAATGGAAGGGAAAGTATCATACAATTAACAAAAATTTTTTTAGAAAATGATAAATTAGAAATTAAATTAATGAAGCCAAGCAGCATAGACAATGCATTAAAATGTAGAAAAAAGTGAAAAATCATATCATACAATCAAAACTACCAGAGAAGAAATGTCCTGTTCTCAAAAACACTTTGAATCACACTTCAACCCTGGTCACACAAAACTAAAAATGCCCACAAAAATAGAATATATAGAAAAATACATCCAATCATTACAAAGTCTGTCTTCAAACTTAAACAATAATCGACCTAGAAATGAAGAAGTTAAGAAAGCTATTAAAAAATTAAGGAATAATAAAGCATCACTTGACATTAAAGCCAAACTTTTAAAAACAGCTTACTTTCTGCCAGAATTCAATAACAAGTGTCTCATCATTTTATGAAAATAAAATCTTCACAACCTAATTTGGTTTTTGTTCTGGTAAGGGAAGTAATGGTGGTATATATGTCTTCAAACAACTCCAGGAAATTGCAGACCTCTCTAATAGGAAATCATATCCCTGCTATGTTGACCTCACAGCAGCATACAACAACACCAATAGAGACTTTGCTTCTCATTCATTAGAAACTGCCTTCCAAACTCTATGTCCACTGAATGAATTGATCTAATAGAAGAACTTTATCAGTCCACAAAATTTTACATAGCTCCAGTCTATTTAATCTTTTCCTAGACTATGTGCCCTGTGCATTTACAGACACAGATGTGAAAAGATGGACACTAATCATTTAAGTATTCTATATTACATTCCAAATGATTCTATCAATAGAAGATAACGATCTGGCTTTCTCTCCTGAGGCTAATGTACTAATAATGATGGGAACTATGCTGATGACATTGGTATTTATAGTTAGGATAAGAATGGTCTTGAACAGAAAACTTTCATCCTCTATCAAGTATTCCAAGAAATGGGATTTAAGATAAACCTTTCCAAAACAGAAACTATGATCTGGAAATGGAATGAAAGCAGTGATGACAAATACTCTGAATCCATCATAAAAATTCAGGATGTGGAATTAAACACTTCAAATACCTCAACTTATTGATCTGTTATAACAAATGTAACATACAAATTGAACAATAGACTGCACTAGAGGTAGTTTCTCTGAACACTGCAAATTGATACAAAGCCAAAACATGAAAGAATGCAATTTTTGTGATCAGAATGTTACCAAAATAAGCAATAGAAGTACACAAATATTTATCTCTTTGTTTCATATATTACACAAAGATATTTGATAAAGAATGCTTTATCTACATGGAAAAGACATTCAAATAACCTGTAATCTGTATTGAGAACAAATAGTTTATATCCAAATAGGGAATGAGTTAAGTGAATACACGAACATAGGAGGAAGACTATGACAAAGATATACTTTCTCACCAAATTTATTATGAAATGATTATAATAGCATAAAAAAAACATACTACCATTTTTTATTAGATGTAACCTTAACAACATATGATATGCAAATGAAACTTTGATGACAAATTCAGTAAGAAAACTGAAAGAACAATAAGACATGATAGTCAAGGAAAACAATAAGAAAAGACTAATCATTAGCTGGAAGATACAAAATGCATGGCAGTGAGCAAATGAAATTACACAAGGTGTGAGCTATGTATCAGGGACATAAAAAATCAAGTAGATCTGGAAATTTAAGTATTTGCGTAACAGAGAATAGAAAATGCAACACAAAAATCCAAAGTTGCATAGAAATAGTAAAAGATACTTTTCAGAAACTATGAAAGGTATTAAGGGATCAAAAAAGTTCTTAGAAACAAAGAAAAAATGCTGGGCAGTTATGTGTGAGTCAAATTTAATTTCATATATGACAATGAATGCTGGGTATTTCCATCATGGATAAAAAAAAATTTGAAGTAATAAAAATGTGATTATACCAATGAATGCCAAGAATGCAATAGACAGATTATATAAAAAAATGAAGAAGTTTTTCAGAGGAATGTGAACTACAAAGAAACTACTTATAACAATCATATTAAGACAACTAAAATTTTTGGAACACATAATAAGGAAAGAAAGTTTAGCGAATTTAACTTTTACAGAACACATTGAAAACAGTGGGAACCAGCAAATAACATACTAAACATGTTTGAGTAAATGAATGGCAGAACAAGAGGGGTTGTAAGAACAAGACAAAAAATTATGGAGAGCTATGATCACCCAGGCTTGAAAGGTCATGGTACATAGAGAGAAAGATTATGAAGTTTGTGAATCATTAGAAGGAAATTATTGATAATGATGAAAGGCATGTTAATGAATAAATTCTTATTAAACATGGATTTTTGTTCCTTTTGATAATCTTAAATTAGTACATCCTAATAAAAGGGAGGCTGATATAAATAGTTCTAATGGCATTTTGAATATAATATTTAGACATTTATCTCTGATGTAGATATAATTGTTAACCGGAACATACCTTTACAACGTTTTCCATCTCCAAAATAGTGACCAGTGCATACACACTGATAACTTCCTTTTTCATTGTGACAGCCAGCGTATTGGTGACACTGAGCAAGGCCTTCAAGACATTCATTCACATCTGAAAGAGAAATAATAAGTAACATTCTAAGAGTGGATTAACAAGAATGTAAAAAACATTTACTCCAAATTTTGCCTAGTCTTTTCACTATCAGATTTAGGACATCTCTTTTTTCTTAATATTACACAGAGACAACAAATATGTTTTGTTTCATTTGATTCTTGCCACAAGGCTATTTTTTATGAATATGTTTTATTGCAACAATGGTGCATTCATTTATAATCAACTGTTGTAATATTTATGATCTGATTTAAATATTTCAGTGTACCCTGACATTGTACATCTCAGATACATTCTAATTAATAACTATACAATGGTAAAGATAAGACAATTTGAAAAATTCAAATTTTGGCATGTTTTACTGATCAAACAGCATCATCAGAAAAATTGATTTTATTTCAACCAAGTATAAACTTATTTATATATTGAACCAGGCTAACTTTAGAAGATTTTCAAAACTGTGACATACTAAATGTCCTCTCCAGTCACCAAACATCTTAATATAAACTTGTCATTTCAATGCTATGTAAGTAAAGAATGTAAGAAAAGAATCAATCATTACATAGGCAAACTAATTTCTTCACAATTATTTCTACAAGCTGCTGAATCCATTTATTGTGACAATGGATGGACACCAATAAATTGATATGAAAGCTCTCAGCGTTATTTTTTAATCAGTTATTCACATAATTATTCTAAAAATCAATTTTTAAAATTTAACATTAATTGTAAAATCTTATAATAAAATATTCTGTTATCTTGGGTAAATGTTACTGGGGATTACTTAGAGCATTGATTATTTTTCAGTGTATTAGTTTGACTAAACAGGCTTTCAGTAATTGGATGTTATTAAAATTTAAAATAGTTTTCATAAGTTATTCCTCAGCTATATTGTTAAGATATTTAAAAAGAAATTAATTTGCTCTGATGAAAACATGGATGAAATTACATAGACAAAGTAAAAATTGACTGAATTAGTTTAGTGAGAAGTTACTCAGGATAAAGATAATTTACTCACTTGTCTTTGAAAAACACAAGAGTTACTAATTGCTTCACACTCACATTTTCTATAATATATCTCTATAAATTAGGCAAATATTTCTAGGCCAATATTTCTAGGCAAAATCATGCTTATTCAAAGAAACATTTAATTTGGTCATCAAGTGCATGAACAATTAATATTAAAAATATTAACAATAAAAATAAAAATGAAGATCTGTAAGTCTGTATTTTCAAAAAAAATTTATATATAATTATATATATATGCAAATATTCTTGATTAATTCAAAGTCTGTATTGGCTTAAATAAAGTATTTTGTTTATTCAGTAAAATTAAATGAAATAAATTTCAGCATAAGAAAACTTTTAATAATCCAAAGGTTAATTAATGTAAGTGATAGACATCCTTTCACTTACCAGAGCATTTCTCATTAACATCTAACTTGTAGCCTTTACGGCATATACATCTTCCTGTGTTTTCATCACAGCCTTGCTCACACCATCGTGACTCACACATATCTGAATTGTAACTGCGTAAAATTGGATTCTTCACCTCTGGAAAAAGAAAAAATTAAACAAAAACTATTACACTGCGTTATTGATTTTATGAAAATTTTACACAAATAAATAGAAATACAAGTGGAATTTATTTCCATATATACACTGATCAGGTCCTCTTACTTTACTACATTTTATGCTTATATGTGGCAATTATTTATACCACTGGCCCTCCATACTGAAAAGAAACCTTCAATGAAAAGATTAGAATAAAAACAATTCATGACTTCTACTCTGACTAATAAAATAGATATAATTTTGCTATTTTTATGCACCAGATTCATATTCATACATTTAATTGAATTGTTTATCATAGTGCACATCACTTGGTATAAGTGAAGTCTGTATTAAGTATTTCTTGAGATTTGATTCTATACAGCTATGTCATTTCTGAAAGAATCTTTGCAATTATTAAATTCATCTTAGAAGATCATTGTTAATGAAGCTCATGAGATCAATGCAGGTGAATCTCAAGGCTCTCTCTTTGATCTTACTTTCTCTCTACTTTATATTCACAGCCTGCCCAAACAGATTGTGAGTAAATATCTATGCAAATGTTACCACAGTTTATGGGTGCACCTCTAAAAACCTAGATGATCAGAGCCTCACTTCTGAATATAGCTCTAATAGCTCAATGGTGGAGTGGGGGGGATTAGCTTGTAGCATTCAATACTTCTAAAACCAAGCTAGTAACATTCCATCATCACTGAGCAGGTCCTAAATTATAAATGGTTATACTCTCAATGAGGATCCTTGCCTTGAATACATATTGCAATTCAAGTTCACCCTAGACCTCAAATAGAGAAATCCATCACTAAAGCTGCTGCAAAAATTGTTGGTTCCTTGTGCCACTCCAGAAAGTACAAGAACCCTTCTACCATGTTCTATATATTCAAGATTCAGATTGGACCAAAAATTGTGTATTGCTGTCATATCCTTGCTTTCCAGCTCTGGTAGTAGTTTAAAGGCATTTATGCAGCCTTCTGGGTAATGAACTATTTTCAACCCTACAGCCCCTTTCCTACAGGCAAAATATTGCAAGCCTATCACTGTTCTATTGCTATTTTTATGGAAAATGTTCAGACAAGCTACATTATTTACTTTTACTAGTTTAGACCTTTAAATCTAAGGCTTGCCATGCCATGTACACAGTGTCAAATCTTCCTCATTCTTTTCATATACCACTGGTAAAAAAGAAGTTCCACTCAGAAAGCTTTTACCTAAGAACTGTTACTTTATGCTACAGACTCCAGAGAAGATGCTTTCCTGATCACTATAATCTTAACTTTTTCAAATCTAGGATCAACAGTTATCTTTTTCTACATATCCTCATAATATGCACTTCTTAATTTCCCCCTTTTATGCCCTTACAACAACTTCATTCAGTAACCCTTAACCATGAGTGACTCTTTGGGCTTTATATTAGCTGAATATTTTAGCAAAATAAAATATAAGAAGCACTTTATTATTAAAATAAATAAAAACATGACCTGGAGATTTCTTTTTAAGATCAGTGATCAATAAACATTTTACTTGTTATGAAAGATTTTCATTATTTTAATAAGATTTTTAAAAATTTTTCAAGGAGCAGCATAATATTAAACACTTTAAAAAATAATTTCCAGCATTTTGTTTAAAGGGCATATAGAATACTAAAATTGGTATACATGACTAAAAGGCATGTTATGTTCAATGATGAAGTATAAGAGGTATGGTTTTGATAAATTTGGATTTTATCATGCAAACAATATCAACGACTATGTAGTTATGAAAATATTTTATTTTGTCTCATCACCAACATGTATCATGTTACCATAGATTAATAAAGTTAAAAGCTTTCTGAAAAATGATGTTGAATTTTCACAAAAACATAACACTAATATATTTTAATGGAGATAAAAAAGGGATAAATAAACAGAAAAACTATGCTTAACTTACCAAACCAAGTAACTTTTAAGGGTAGCTCAAATATTTTCAGGTCACCAGTTTTATTCATACTGAAGAAGATTGCTGAATCGTTCAGAAGGAAGTTTTTGGGGGTTGATACTGTGACAATAACTTCTGTTTCCGTGATTTCATTTCCATAGCTGTACACACCAACAGTGAGACTGAGTAGACACATACATGACATTATGGCCAGGTACATACTGAAAAAAATTAAATTGGAAAAGATATAATAAATTAGGAAAAGCCTTTAAAATGATTCAATGAGCATTGTTTTATATGTGTATGTATATATATATATATATATATATATATATATATATATATATATATTATTTCAATTAAAGTCTTTTTGTTTATGATCAACAAAAGAATGACACAGAATCAAAATTCAAAAACAAAAATCACTTCCTTCTTTAAAAAGCAGTCACAATAATTATTAAACATCTTCAGATGTGAATATAGATATATTCCTAAAATTCTATATGTTATTAATATTATCAGACTGAATAAACAGTCCCTGATAAATACTTGATTATATAATTAAACTGACAGTAGTTGCAGATGTTCTTTTATAAAAATTAACTTTCATAAGAGTTTTTTCTGAAGAAGAATTTTAGAGTTCAGGCTTTCGAAGCATTAGAACAAAAATAATCACTTGCTGATGAACCCTGGATTAAATCTGTTTTTAGGATTGCTTGCAGATATGTTATTTGCTAAATGACAAAAAAATGAAACCCAAACTTTTCAATATTATTTGACCAATTGAGCATGGGTAAAACTTTGCTGACTTCCAGATACTCTACTGGCCCCTCCACATGTATCAGATTTAAACACCATTTAGCAAGTATGGGACATGTTATCAGACTTCACTAAATTCCCTGCAGCAATATCCAACAAACATAACTCAGCTGTGGACAACCCTAGAACATGCCTAGATAGATATGTCTACACAGTGATTCCCGCACCTTGTAGACTTCATGCCACATTGTGTAGTTGCCATTAGTTAGATGAAGGGAAGAGCTCAAATTATCTCTGATGCCAAATAAAAGGTGGTGGAAATATCAGAAAATGTAATATACAGAATGAGTGTAATAAATATGGGGATGGAAAAAATGAAAAAATCCAATAAATGGGAGATTTTAGTAAATTGAGTGATTAGCAAAGGATTAAAAATGAATCTTTCAAACTATAACAAAACCTCAATGAAACAAAACTAAAAATAAATGTCTATCAATATCTTTAAGTAAAATGCTTTAAGCAAATCAAAAATATTTCCATATTTCCAATATTACAATATAAATAAATGTCCATCAATGGCCAACAAATAAATAATGTATATCCAACAACATCCCAAAATAATAGCTTAAAATGCATTAATGAAATTGAAAATATTTCCATAATAATCATTTTCCTCATCTTGTTGATTGGTACTCTTCTCTTTCCAGCAATCTATTGAGTAAGGTGACTGTGAATAGTCAAAAATTAGTAAGCATAGAGGTTTTAATAAGCTCTTATGGGGTTGGGAAAAAGCACAAAATTAACAAACGGAGGAAGTTTTTATTTGGTACCTGAGAGTAGCTATTTTTAATTTATCAGCACTTTATTTTATCTCTCTCTCTCTCTACACACACACACACACACACACATACACACACACACACACACACACATATATATATATATATATATATATATATATATATATATGATTGGCCAAGTAACTGTGAACAAATTATAATATAAATAAAACCAAAGATCAGTTTATTTCTTTAAATTTGCAAATATGTTCATTTAAAAAAAAAAAAACAGATATAAGCTATTTAATAAAACTGCCTTCAGCCTCCAAGATGGCCTTGATGCAGCCTTCAGAGCAACTTCATGCTTGAATCTAATGGTTCTTCTTTATCTTGATCTTTGAATCTACAATAGTGACCATCAACAACTTGCTCTTATAGAACCACTGATTAGAAGGGACCAGAGCATGTATAGCTTCCTCTGGATTACCTGTTCAATGTCAGGGTTTTATCACTGCCTCCAGAACAATATAGGTGGTAGCATTGAACCTAGGCCCTGTGAGAAGTGGTTTAACATAACTGTTATTACTCTTGACCTGCCAGGACCAGTACAGATGATGTAAACATAGTTTGTGAAGTCACTTATCATTTCTGTTCACCTTCTGGTCCTAGTCGATGTTCTTATTGCATGCCAGGTTCCTCAAATAACTTGCATTTGTTCAGTAAACATTTCACTTGGATCACCTGGCATAAACTGTTTCCATCTCATCACATTGGCCTTGTGTCTGATGTTCTTGTGCACTATACCAATAATAGACACTGGGTCCTGGAGCTGAACATCTTGTTGCTGATAATGTTTTCAACTTGCTAGATTAAGATAACTATCCTTTTAATGTCTGACCACAGAATTATTTCTATTGGCCACATTCCTCTATATTCCAGCACTTCATTTCTGATCTTGAGCAGGCCACTTTCAAGAATTTTGCTATTTCCCAGCTGTTGTGGTTAGTGGCCAGTGCTCTAACATGGCATATCTTTTCATTTTCTCTGTCAGATTAAAAGCCGGCATATTAATGTTATCAATAAAATTTGTTGGATGCTGCATAATATTATGATAGGTTGTCTTCCTAAACATGTGTTCTCAAATACTTGGTATATATTGTATAAGTTAAACTGTACTAACAGAGAAAAAGTAAAAATTGACAGTGTCTGACAAAGGCAATTTTTCCTCTTAAGAGAGACATTCAACTTCACACACACACACACACACACACACACACACACACACACATATATATATATATATATATATATATATATATATATATATATATACATCATATGCCTAGCAACAATGAAAACTAAAATCTACTATATGTGCTGAATTCACTGAATTTATAGTGCCATAATACATTCAATATATATTTTTGTTATAAACATATCAGATAAACCAAAAATCTAATAGTAAAACACAATTCTTCCTGCATCTCCTTACAAAATTTTCTAACTTGATCACACAAGAAAAAGAAATCTATTTTCCAAAATCATGAAGAGTTAACAATGACGAGGAAATGTATAATTCTGGAAAAATTTTCAGAATTATGAATTATTCCTGGCTGATGGGTTGAACAGTTTTTACCTGAACCTTCTATGCCTCCATCTTGTAGGATGCAGTCTGAAACCCAAAGACAAAAGTTTGCATGAGAATACTCATCAAGAAAGAGATGAGGCTCTGGTTTCTGGCTTGTTTCTAATCAATCACAGCATTGACAAGCAAAATAAATTGTTTTAATTGCTAATAACAGCAAAAAGGCCAAATTCTTGACTTGGCAGACTGTTCATTCAAAAAAAGAATGAATTTAAAATAATGCAAAAGTTACAAGGGATATTTCATATTGTCAAGAACAATTTTAGTTGAAAATGAATTACTTCACATAAAAAGAATGAGATTCAAAATATCTTGCAAATAAATTAGCCAAGATGGTGACACATCTGTAAAAGTATTGTTCCTTTAAACAAAATTATTAGAGTTTGTCAATTTTTTAATATTAATTAATATTTAGCAGATGATGTTTTGACAGAGGGGGTGTATATATACACACACACACACACACACATATATATATATATATATATATATATATATATATAAATCAATCAAACATCAAAACACAGACACACACACACACACATATATATATATATATATATATATATATATATATATATATATATATATACACACACACACAAGGGGTGCTTCAAAAGTATTGCCTCTTATTTCTTTTGCACTGAAACTATAACATATACAAGGAGCATAACAGCATTATTGTATAGAGTGAGTTATAAGATACAAGAATCAAAAAGTTACTAGTATCAGTGTCATATTTTCAAGGTATTTCATTTTATGTGTTGATAGTCATAAATGACAGTCTGGCATGTTGTTTGTTGCCACTGATAAAATATATCACACACAGGTTAATTGTGCTTACATCCATTGTTTGATCTATATAATGTTCACCAAGTATCAATGAATGTCAATGGGAGCAATTTTAGGATCAAAATGGAATCCAGTACAGCTTTGCTTCATACACAATTTCATATCAAATGCCCATTTTCCCATAATGCTATCTGCAACAATATAAGAAAAAGTATGGCTTCTTGGTAGGAAGAAAAATCTTTACTGCCATACCATCAAAATCTGCATCTGGTATTGACAGCCAACATAATAGGAGGCATTACTTTTGTAGTGATCCTATATATATATATATATATATATATATATATATATATATATATATATATATTCTATGTTAAATTTATTATTCAATTCAATATTTTCACAATAAAATTATTAATCAAATGATGTTGGCAAAATTTTCACAATATACTTACATTTATATGCCCAATACATCATATGAATTTCAAGTTATAATATCTATCCCTATTTAAAATACTGATAACCTATTTGTAGGGTATATCAAGTTTTATTTGCCAAAGTGTAACATGAGCTTATATTTAGAAATAAGTTCAAAGGGTATTAGGTGCTAGAGACATATTTAGTTATCATAATAACTTATATTCCTATATAAATTATTATTTAATTAATTTGCATGGTAATACTGGTTTTTTGACATTCTATACCTTTTATCAGTCTTGCATTCATTGATTTTAATATTTCTACTGTTTTTACTTTTAACATTATTGCAACAGTTTTTGCTGTTTTCCAGAAATCTTATTTGGTTGAATACTTTTCCATTAATCATATACATCTATTTTAATTTTTCAGCTGGATTAATATCTGGATATATCTGTCAGCCATTCTATTGTGTTAAAGCTTTCTGGTTGCAACCTGTACCACTCAAAAAACATCTTGCCCAAGATATAATAATTCTCTACAATTATCTTGTCACCATCATTTATTTTAAAGGGACCTATTATTTAACTGCTTACAATATGAACAAAACATTAATCCAACTCTCTACTGTTGTAGTCAAAGATGATTGAATATTCTCATGAAAGACCCAACTTCTAGCCCAAACAGCTATGCATTTATCATTATAAATTACTGTTGAGGAATAAGTTTTCATGTACTTTAACTCTCACATTTATGAGTTCCCATTTTTGTTTCCTGAATTTCTATTCATTCTTCTATTAGTTGTAGATAATAAATTGTTATAATCCTT